TCCAGGATCCATATCACTCTGACCGCCAGACTTTCTCCGGTGATATCCTTCAATTGTACTCGCTCCGACCACCTACAAAAAAGTATCACTCCGTCACTGCGCTAGTGGTAGTGTTTTCATCTAGTGGTACGTTACCACAACTCTCTGGTAGGGTACCACAGCTCACTAGTAGCGTTACCAATGGTATTGGTAGTGTACCACTAGCACAGATAGAGTACCGTACCAGTGATACGAGTGCTAGTGGTACCACTACTAGTAATACGATGCCAGTGCTAGTGGTACGCTACCAGTGCTAGTGTTACGATACCACTACTACTGGTAACGCTACCACTAGAGACTAACACATAAACCATATATGGAATCTATAAAATTACATATCTGGGGAAAAAATTAGGGGATGAGGTAAGGGAGAGGCGGTGACCTCGCGGCGGCGTCGATGGTGGGAGACGGAGGGCTGCAATGGGGAGAGGGTGGTCTGTGCCGAGGTGGAGGGAGGCGAAAGGTTGTGGGACGACGTTATTGGAGGGGCGCGACAAGGGTGGAGGGAGGCGGAGGGCGGCAGCAACAACGACGCAGCTCGTCGGCAACAATGCAGTCTGCAGTAGAGAGGGAGGAGGTAGGGTTTTTCTATTTATATGGGAGGGTGAATGATTGGGTGCGGTAAATATTTTCCCTTTCAAAAATACTCTTTATTTAATCTTAACCGTTAATTTGAAAAAGTGAAAAAAGAAACAGGAGAGAGAGCATATCATAGGGCTAGGAAGTGGGTTGTGAATCTGACAACCCCCTCAATGGTATCAGCTTCCCTCTCTTAATTAGCCTTTCAACATCAGTCTTATATAGTTTGTGTATCAATACTTAGTAATGATATGTTTGTTAATTAATTTACTTTCTGATATTTCGTTTGAGAAATGCTCTCAACTTTGGCTAACGGCGAAGGCTCACCGGTAGCTGATCCATCTCTCACTGGGCGGCCGTCGGATCCCTCTTCGCAAACGATGCAACTGCAACTTTGGAAACCTCTCTCCCTCTCAAAAGATGTCCCGAAACTTTCACATCTATTTTTTTGCTGATGATTTGGTTTTGTTTGCAGAAGCATAAATGAGTCAAATCGATCTAATCAAAAGTTGTTTGGCAGATTTCTGCTCTAGCTCAGGCCAAAGATTCAACCTCGATAAATCATCCTTGTACATCTCGCCCAACATTCATCATGATAGAGCCCAAATGCTGAGTTCTAGAGCTGGAATCCCCCTAACCAATGATCTTGGGCGATATTTAGGGCTCAAAGCTATCAGTGGCAAGATGACTAAAGAGAAATACAAGGAGCTGATTATCAAGATCCAAAATAAGTTGGCTACTAGGAAAACTAAGCATCTTTTGATGGCAGTCGAGTCACTCTGGTGAAATCAGTAGCCTCCTCCATGGTTGTTTTTCCTATGTTTACTAAGCTTCTTCCTGCAGGTGTCTGTAAGAATCTTGACAGGTGCAATAAGAAATTCATTTGGGGAGAGGATGATGATAAAACCAAATACCATTAGGTCTCTTGGGATCAAGTAAGCCTTCCCCGAAGTCAGGGAAGTCTTGGAATCCAACCTACTCGTCTTGCCAATCTAGCAATGCTGGCAAAGGGGGCGTGGATGTTGGCTTCTAACGATCAGTGCCTTTGGGAAAATGTCTTAAGAAGCAAGTACGGGAGACGGAAGGCTGGAATTGAAATGCTTAATAAGGCTAAGGGAAGTTCCCTCGCTTGGCGAAGTTTTTCGCAAACAACTCATATCTTGCGCAAAGGCTCTGCCACCAACATTAAGAACAAAAAATCGACTAATTTTTGGTTTGATCCTTGGCTTTTTCAGACACCGCTTGCTGATGTAGCATTGGAGGTGATTCCGGGAGACCTTAAAGACAAAAAGGTGGCTGATTACTGGTTGCCGAGCACTAGGTGGGAGATTGAGGAATTGGACAAACACCTTCCCCAGGCCATCCTCGACATAATTAGGGTTGTGATGATCGATCCTCTCTCCACAAATAAAGACCAGCTATTGGAAAGAGTCAGCTAATGGACGTTTCAACACCTCTTCGACATTCAGTTTAATTGCTCCTCAACATAGACATATGCACTCCAAGTTGTGGAAAAGCATTTGGCAGCTACCTGTTCCAGAAAGAATCAGACTGTTCATCTGGACCACCATGAAGAACAGGCTGGCCACTCATGCTATTAGAAAATTCAGACACCTGACTGATGATGATGTGTGCCCTCTGTGTCGGCATGAGACCGAGACAAATATTCATTACCTACGCGACTGTTTGGCAGCCATGAAAATATGGGGAAAACTAATCCCTCAGCAACATCAAGCTTTTTTTGCAGCAGATCATGACCTGTGGCTCAAGACAAATCTGAAAAAGAAAGATTGCGAGGGAGAGATAGAGGACTGGGGCAGCTCGCCATTATTGCTTGGTATATTTGGAAGAACCGCAATGAGTACATCTTCAAAGTTACTTGAATATCACACTCCACTTTGATCAATGGTCACAGGCTTGGAAGGCGGCGAAAGGTAATTCAGACAGAGTTTTGCGGCATGCTCAGGAGTAGCAGTTGATTGGTTGGAAGGCTCCACCGGCAGTATGGACAAAGCTAAATACAGATGGAGCAGCGCAAGTCTCACATGGTTTGGCGACAGCAGGAGGGGTTCTTCGGGACGCTAGTGGAGATTGGCTAGGAGGCTTTTGCTGCAAGATAGGAACAGGAAATGCCATTCTAGCAGAGCTGTGGGGGATACATCAGGGACTGGAGTATGGGTGGAACAAAGGGTTTCGATTTCTGATCCTTGAAACTGACTCAAAATTAGCAATTGATCTCATTTCCAGTCACGAGGATCAGGTTCATCCTTATGCTACTTTACTAAGGGCCATTCGCAGATTAATAGCACAAGACTGGATAGTTCGGCTAGTTCATACGTATCGGGAAGGGAATAAAGTCGCGGACTGACTCTTGAAGCACAGTCTCGTCTATCCCTTTGGTACGCATGAATTAGTCGAACTTCCAAGGGAGATTGAGAGATTACTCAGAGAGGACACGATTGGAGTGAGCTTCCCTCGCAGGGTTGTGTTGAACTCAGATTGATAGGTTCTGCTTTTGTTTTTAGCTTGGATCCTCTTTGTTTGAGGCTTTTCTTTCTTAGTAGGGTGAGCTTGTTCCCCTTGCCAGCGACAGCTTTATGTCCTGATTTTGTCTACTTGGCGTAAAAGCCTCCCCTTTATAAAAAAAAAATCAATACTTAGTAATTGCCATTCAATTTATCTGTATCAAATTTAAGCACAACTTCATAATCATTTGTGAGTATTTAATGTCTTTCATCTTCAATTGTATCTGTCTTTTGCAATTAAATGATTGAGATTGGAGATTGATGTGCTCTCATATGCTCATTTGAGTATTCAATTTTAGTTAATTTCTAAGTAACAAAAATAATAATATAATTCATGTTCCAAATATTTATTTATCTATAAGTAAATGAATTCATGGATTTTGCAATCCCACATTGACCTTATAATGAAAGGAGGCCGTAAAGCCCACAAGTATTAAGGCCTAGAGGTAATCAAGGCCACAAGCTTTAAGGCCCACAAACTCTCTCTCCCTATCGACTCTGACTGGACTGTGATCCAGAACAAGCTTAATTCCACGATCCGTATCCCAGCCACCGGCGGCCATTGGCGTGGCTGCGTCTTCACCGGTAGAGGAAGCCTCTACGCCTCCAGTTCTCAATCTAAAATTCCATCTCAGAAAACATTCCATCTCCGAGTTCCTGTGGAGCTAATCCGATCTATGATGGAGCGATGGAGAGGTGTTCTCAAGGTTCCATTGAAGAAGCCAGGAGGAATTCCGACTCTCTACAGAGTTTCCGTCTCTCTCTACCTCTCAAATCCTTCCGAAACCCTAGCAGTGAGTTCAAAATTCCCCTCCGTTTTCTTCTCCCGCCTCCCCCTTCCCCGAGAACTCAGAGCTCCATGACCTAAAAATGGACAGGTACCTTCAGCGAACGCCATACTTTTCCTGGGAGACCGCGTATCCGTAACTCGGAGCACCGCAATCCAGAGGCTCTCCGATCCGCAGAAACTAGCCGATATCTTGGTCTCGAAGTTTGGGGATTCAATCAACGCCTGGGTCATCGAGGCTGCTCTCTGCAACGGCCCGTTCGCCGTCTACAAAGACTGCATCCCCACTGTCAATCAATGGGGAGAGCCCAAATCTTACGACCCTTCAGGGTTCCCAGCTTCCAATTCCACCGCCTCTCTGTTAACAAGCTGCTTGCACGAGATCAAGCTCCGGCTACCAGCTTCATCATCCAATGGTGGCGTTCCCGATCCGTTGCCGACGTACATCCTGGGGTTCAGCAAGGGAGGCACCGTGGTTAACCAGCTAGTAACCGAGCTGAGCTGCCTCGAACCGAGATCCGGTCGGCGAGAACAACAGCGGGTGCGGATCATACCCGAAAGTGGAGAGGATCTGCTAAGCAGCATCACCGAGGTCCATTACGTGGATGTTGGGTTGAACTCTGCAGGTGCCTACGTCACCGATCATGGCGTGATTGAGAGGATAGGCAAGCGTTTGAATGCTGAAGGAGAAGGTGGAGCTGGAATCCGGTTCGTGCTCCATGGAACTCCGAGGCAATGGTGCGACGACAGGCGGGCGTGGATACGGGAGGAGAAGGATGAGCTGATCCGTCTGCTGGAAATTGAGGCTGGGAGAAGGAGTGCTGCTGCAGGGAAGTTACAGGTTCGCCAGAAGCTTTACTTTGCTGATAGGGTCCCTGATATGGAAATGCACTTTGAAGTGCTTGAAGCCATGGATGTGAGTTGTGAGTAGATTAGAGTTATGTGAGCCTTATTTTTGCAGCCACGGTTGAAATAGTGTATCCAAGTAGTTTGTAGTTCGTGGAGGCAAGAGCAGAAATGAACATGGTGAACTTGACTATGGTAGATCGTTTGTAAAACAGTTGGTAAATCGTTAATGTAAATGTTCATTCCCGTAAAGTAATTGCAAATGCATTGGATGACTAATGGCTTCCCACCAGAAACGCACTATAGAGGCTAATCCAAGAACATTAAGTACCGAAAATTTTGTAGGTTATTCATCCATCCGAACTTTAAGTACTGAAATATGAATGTAGTGAATTCATTCATCCATCCTTCAAGCTCAAACTGTGCTATAGTAAACCAAGTAAAACAAAAGTTTGTGGGCATTACCTATGAAATAATATACATTCAATGGCAAGGAAATGTATCCCAAAACCAGTTATTAGGGTATACTCAGCTGGTGTCTTTCTGAAAATGTTCCTACAACTACAAGTACAAGGTATCCCAGCCTAGTTTAAACACAAGTCGTCTGTCTATCGAGGAGGGAAGAAGCTCGGGTACCATAATCCAGATAGAGAATGTTGATTTGGATGGATTACACCCGAACCAGCGAGGAATCTGCTCTCATCTTGTGTCGAGAAACAACTCCACCGACACTGACATTCACTTCCACTACTCCTTGAAAATTTGTGAATAAGTTAACCTCTGGTTTTCAAAGTTCAAACAATTACTTAATGCACTCAACCTGGATAGTCAGATCCTTGACCCCAAAATCCTTGAACCTTTGCAAAACCCGTCTCTTCAAGGAAGTCCTATCGGTGTCCTCTGAAACATGGAGGTGAAGCGTCCCAACAACGTCTGTGTTAGTAAAACTCCAAATGTGGAAGGTCTGAATGCCACGTACCCCCTTGATCCTTCTGACGTCGTCCAGAGCTCCCTTCAAACGCTTCTCTTGCGCTCTTGGAACTCTCTGGAGCAAGATCTCTGCAGAGTTTCTCAGCAATGGAATTACCGACGATATGATCAAAGCTGAAATGAAAATTGAGCTTGCTGGATCAGCAACAAGCCACCCTTTGTACTTGATAAGGAGCGTCGATATGACCACGCCAACGCTTCCCATGGTATCTGCCAGCACATGCAGAAAAATCCCCTCCATATTGTGGTCAACATGGTGATGATCGTGGTGCTTTTCTGGCTCCTGCACAGAAGACTCGGGATGGTGATGATGGTCATAGGATTCATGGTGGTGATGAGTGTGATCATGGTTGTGCTCGTGGCAATGGGAGCTGTCATGGTTGTCATGATTATCATGATGGTGAACATGATCATGGATGCAGCTGCTACCACTGTGTTGATGGGTCAATGATGTCTCAGGAGAGCTATGTGAAATGGATATGGACTCCTGATGGTTTTCATGAACCCCATGATCATGTGAATGGTGATGATGATCGGAGTGAGAATGTGAGTGTGAATGCCCATGAGAATGTGAGCAACCTCCAGACCCACCACCATGAGCGTGATGGTGCTCCTCATGAAAGAAGATTAAACCAACAACATTAACCACAAGGCCTCCAACAGAAACAACTAACAAGCTGTTGGTTGATATCTCCTGAGGGTCCAATATCCTCTCGAAAGACTCTAAAACTATTAATGCTCCAACAAGAACCAGGAAAACCGCATTCACATATCCAGATAGAACCTCAAATCTTCCACGGCCATAGTTATACTGCTCATTTGCGGGTAGTCTTGCAATATAAGAGGCATAAAGACCGATAGCCAAAGCAGCACAATCGAACAACATGTGGCAAGCATCTGATATAAGTCCAAGACTATTGCTCATGAATCCAGCAACAAATTCAACAACCATATAGGCAGCATTGATCAAAAGGAAGAGTGCAATCTTCCTAGATTTCCTCTCACTCAAAATATGGCGTAACGGATTGGTAACCAAATTACGATATGACTCGGAAGATTGCATCCCCAACTCGAGATGATCCGAATTAACATGATCCAGCCTTCTAACCCCGATATACAGCAGCAACCCACATATCAGTAGCCCCCAAAGTGAAAGCTCGGGAAAGTAGAACAGCTCCAAGACAATTGTGCAAACAAATGTTACTGAAAAATCCTTCTGGAAATCTTTAGAAGTTACCAGCTTCTCATCAGCGTAACTCTCACTCAGTAGTACTCCAAAAACAACCGTGTTAGCCAACGGCCATCCTAAGCTCCCAAATGAAACACCATGATCACCAGCTTCAAGCACGGCAAAGCTCACAAGGGCAGGAATGAATAGCAGAAGGGTGGTATAAAACAATGACACCAATCTAACTCGAGCTTGTCCCAGCTGCCTGATTGCTATCCAATTCATCGAAACACGCTCGTAAGACCCCAAAAACCCAGACATAAATGGAAGCAGCATCAGCCAAATTCTAATGCAATTCTCTCTAGGAATCAACGACCACCCATATTTACCCACATAGGAAGCCGAAAAAGGGAAGCATTCACTACGATCCCAACTCATAGCCAACAAGAACAAGCCAACAAAGAGAGCCAAAAACCCAGCAAGCTTTTTACCATTCCCATCCAGAGTTGCCGCACCAATTTTATGCCTTTTCCCCAGAGAAAGAACACGGGCCACAATGTTGCCGCACAATTCAGCGAGAATCATGGCCGCAGTCCCACAGTACCTGAGAGCCTGGAACCTGAGAAGAAAGACAACGGCGAGGACAATCGATTTGACGAAGAGGAGCTTATGCTGGGATGGGGAGAGGGTGGAGAGGGAGAATACAGGGGTTCGATTGGATTTGAAGCTGCTGTTGGGGTTTCTGAGGCGAGCGAGAGGTGTTTTGGCAGAGAAGAGAGAGAACGAGAGGGAAAGGAGGAAAGATAGGAGGGAGACGAGGAAGGAGAAAGGGAAGAGGGAGAAGGAAGGAGATGAGCGGAGGAATGGGAGGAGAGAGTAGAGGGAGCGGAGGGAGAAGAGGAAAAGGAATAGAAATGAAATTGACGACTTGGAGGAGGAGGAAGAAGAAGATTTGAAGGAGAATGAAGCGGAAGAGAGGCGTTGCTTCGACGGGGTCGGAGTTGGGGTGGATGCGTAGGCGTATGGAGAAGATGAAGGGTAGGCTCGAGATGTGACGCCGGCGGTGGCCGGAGGAGTGAAAGAAACGGTGGGTCTGGCCGGAACTGAGAGGCGATTCGGGCGATTCTGTTGATGGTGGCGGTGATCGTGATCGGAATCATGATCTCCCGGCATGGTTGCTGGCGGATCGGAGGCGGGAATGGCAGAGGGCTCCGGTCGAGGAAGGAAGGGAGTAGAGTTGACGAGGACACTGCGTCCTTCATTTCCCTCACTAGCTTGAAGGTAAGAACATAGAATTTAACGAGGCCTAAAAGGCCCAAGTGTTAAGCCCTAAAGTCGCTGAGGCCCACATAACAGATCCGCTCCAGTTAAAAGGTTTAGATCCAAATCCAAGATTTGAAATTTCTAAAACCCGCCACTCATTCACACCGCTACCTCCACTCCGCCCTCCGCTTAACCAACTCTATCTTCCTCTCCTCCTTTCCTTTCCTTTCAATCTCTCGGGCTATTTGCTTGTACTTTCATGGAAACCTCTGCTGCTGATCCGTCCATTTACCGAGAACCAGATCCAACCTGCGGCGGAGGCGGCGGAAACGGAAATGGCAACGGCGGAAGAACTTTTTACTGCCGGAAGGAGAAATCTCTCGGAGTCTTATGCACCAAGTTTGAACCCTCTCTCCCCTTATCGAATCTATTCCCTCAATTGGATTGTCATTTCCAGTCCTCTTTCTTAATTTTCTGCTGTTCTTTTGTCGTCTGTAGCTTCTTGAACTTGTATAGTACTCAAGGGGTCGACTCAATTGGACTAGACGATGCCTCTTCGAAATTAGGTATTCATTCTGGACGTATTTCTTACTCTCCCCGTTTGTTTGGATCCTGGGGAAAAAAAAATTGGTTTTCAACATGTAACTAGAGGAAGGAGGGTTTTTATTTTCCGACGAGAGGACTTTTCCGGAAGCTAAGGGAAATGTGTTCTGTATATTGTTAAGCATATTGACGAGTTTCCGTTGGGAATCGTTGGCGTTTGCAGGAGTAGAGCGCCGGCGAATTTACGATGTTGTTAACATATTGGAGAGTGTTGGCGTAAGATTCTTAAGCTGATTTTTTGTCCCAATTCCTGGTATCTCATTCAACTTGATTGTGAGCAATTTTGCAATGCCTTTTTTCTTTAGGTGGTGGCTAGAAAACAGAAGAATCAGTACTCATGGAGAGGTTTTGCGGCAATTCCACATGCTTTGGAGTGCCTCAAGGCATGTTCACAATTTTTTAGCTTTGTCCATGGCTTTCAATGTTTCTCTTCCATTTCCTTTGTCCTATTTGTTTTGAGCTGCAATATGATTCCTTAATATCTCATTGTTTCAGCAAGAGGCATTGATGGAGAATTTCAGTGCTGCATCTTGTCTGAACTCAGCAAAGGTGTGTCCGTTCTTGATTCTCGACCTATGTTGATTGGTAGTTGTGTGGATTGTCTTAAGCAGATTATAGAGCACACACATACCACTTAGTCATGTTGTAATTATGAAGCAAAAGTTTAGCAGCTTCTTTAGCTCCAAGTCTTGTTTGAACATGTGTAGTAATTGTGGTCACTGTTACTTCATTGGCCTAGATTCATGGTTGAGAAGTGAAAGTAACAAAGCGTAGGCTCATACTTGACGATTGCAGCATTGGCACCGAGTTTGTTCAGAATAGCAGCCACGTTAGTCCAAGTTTTGACCCTTTCTTCCATTCTTCGTTATAGGCTCTAAAAGAGAATGAAGTTGGACCATCTTCCAATGTACCAACTGATGGTCAAGAAAACAATTCAGCAGCATCAGTTTCTGCTGGTAATGGTTAGTGACCCTTTGTTTGGGTTTGTCAACAACTCACCTCAATCGACATGGGTGATCTATAAAGTTCTAAAATTTAGCTTAAACCTGAGGCTTGTCTGAACAGCCAAATGCTGTCTAGTCTAAAGTGCACAGCAAATTTTACATGTGTTTTTTTATGCAGATAACAAAAGAGAAAAATCATTATGGCTTCTCACACAGAATTTCGTGAAGCTTTTCCTTTGTTCTGATGTAAGTGAAGTTCTTCCCAAATTGGCTTGAAATATGACTTCCTCTTTCACTTGTTGGAGCCTTCACTCATTCATTCTCTTTTAGGAAGATTTAATCACACTTGATACTGCTGCAACAACTTTGCTGGGTGATGCCCTAAGTTCTACAGCTATGAGAAGTAAAGATCGAATCCTCACCTTCCATTACAATGAAGCCAACTAGTACTGAACCATGTTACTCACTCTTTCTTCTTTTTAACGGTCATTATACAGCAAAAGTAAGACGACTCTATGACATTGCCAATGTTTTGGCTTCCATGAACCTTATAGAAAAGGTATATTTTAACCTACATACCATGGGTAACACAGAACAGTAATTCAGCTTAGGCATGTAAACGAACTATAATGTTGTCTTCATTTTGCAGACTCATCACCCTGAAAGCAGGCGACCTGCCTTTAGGTGGGTGGGATGGAGGGGAAACAATGTAGCTCTCGACCCTGTGAAATTCCAGGCCACCAAGAGAACTTTTGGCACTGAGATTACTAACTTCTCATCAAAGAAAAACCGGCTGGGTTGTATCGACCATAACCATGTTATTGCTCCAGTCCTTAAAATATCGCAGGATTCGCAAAACAAAATTCATGGAAGCAACCTGAAGCCAAAGACAGAGGAAGGCAAATCTAAGAGCTTTGTCTTTGGTCCATTCAGTCCAGCAGTTACTGACAAAGGTGTAAGCTGCACAGGAAACACAAGTATGACAAAGATCCAGGACGTGGAGACTCTAGCTTCTACTTGTTATCCTCAGTACTGCAATGAAGGTAGAGCCTACTGGTTAAACACTTATTTTTCTATGCTGCAGTTGAACTTCTACAGTAACTAATGTGGAGCATTTCAATTGGGTGGCAGCTTTAGGCGAGCTATTTGGTCATTACGTAGAGGCGTGGAAATCATGGTATGCTGGAGCTTCAAGAAGAGAAAAGACCCAAGGAGACTCATGACAGAAGCCTTCCCGTAGATTCACAACTGAACTCAATAGAGATTCACCATGTCAAGTTTCCTGGTCAGCAGTAGAACGTATTTTGAATATATTGCATTAACTTGATGCTCTGCACCAACAGAAATAGCACTCACTTCAACCCACAGTTTCTAACAGAAATAGTTCTGATGATGCAGTTCTTTTCATGTTTTAACGTTCAGCTTGTTAGAATGAAGGGCAAGTAAAAGTCAACTGATTTGTTCATTCCAATAGTTTTTTTAAGTTATTCGTAGGAGGCCCTTGTATGAATCTTTAATTCTTCTTGAATGTTGAGAGATTCATCTATCTTTTTGTTATTATTCTTCTAAAGCTGAATAACATTATGCATAAACAACAAGAGTCTCGCCGTTTGAGCACATTGATGCATGCTGTTACTCGCATGAAGTAATAATGGATTGTTGATTCTAAACAGCACATTCCTCAGCACTGTTTCTTCTTTCTGTTGTTGCGTTCTTATTATAAGCTCACTTCGCCCTCGTTCAACTATAAACATTCTGCATAAAGAACATGATTACTGGTCAATTGGGCCCATCATATGCTTATCCATGCAACATATCCACCCAAATATTATAAAGAGAGACGAAAATTAAGAGGATAATAACAGGCAATTAGATTTTGTGTTGTGGTTCAGTAGCCAATAGGGATTGATTGGCCAAGAATTAGTGACACGTATCGAAATCAATATCAGGGTGTCTCTGTGGTGATGGTCCATTTGGAGCTGAACCAAAAGATGCCAGGATTGCTGTTAGGCAGGCCCACTCTCTAGATTGGTTGAAGCCAAGATTTGGGCCAGCGGTGATAGGTCCATTTCTCTTTACGAGCAATCAGGCTAGGGTTCTAGCGATTCATTAGAGTTAGGACGTCATATCATGATTCACAATCCTTTGCACAGTCTCTGTTTCCTGTTTCTTATAGTTGGTGATGCACACTGTTGCATTTTTGTAAATAATTGTCATTGTGTGCATCCAACAATTGTAAATTACAGAATGCGCTATATAATAGTCAAGAACTTTTCACCCTAACGATATTAGGATGACTACCTAACTTATTTGTGAGGATATAGATGAAAGATACCGAGTCAAATATTTGACACTCTCTTTAAATTTAAATTAGTATTTGACCTTATAGGCTTCTATATATGGACAGGCAGACCTTGCAATTGTTTTAGGTAAAACTAATGGTTTTGCTGCTAAATCTCTCAGCACCACTTTTCAGGTTCATTCATGTGGCTGTCATTATGAAATTATTAAAGACGGGGAAGAATGACCTAATCTTATTGTGATGCAATGCATTTGGCCTCCAATGGAGATAATTGAAATAATTGAAATAAAGTTTTAGCCATGACAAATTGACAATATGGGAGACTACTATAATTTTATTTGTTTAGAATTAAAAAGGTACCTACTTTTGTTTTCTTACATGCCATAACCAAGAAACCTACCCAACTAGCTCTTTGCTTACTAATTGATAAACAATTGTTGACTAATATCCACACGTTTTGTTCACTTACGAACATAATGTGTTACATTCTATTATTCTAATGGAATGCTACACTATTCCACCTAATTTGTTATATTCAAATGAAATGCTACACTATTCCACCTACAAAATCACCAAACATTTTGCTTCAAATTAAACTTTGCATAACTAAACCAAGTTACTAGATGCATAAGATAGCAATTGAGTTTGTAACCCATTTGTTTTGACGATGAATAGCAGTATAAGAGATGAAGTACATATTTTTTTATTCTTTTTTATTAGCCAATCCTATTAAAATACTAAGAATTAGAAAAATGTTAATTTCCAGTTAGCAATTTTGTTAGTAATATTGAGATGGCAACATGACACTGACTTGGAAGAGACACATGAAAGTCATCATTCCAAAATTTTAATATTTTAATTAAGAAAAAGTTACAAAATTATTAACGATAACGTAAAAATGACTAATATTTTGATTCATTACAAAAGATTTGTCTAATTAATAGCACGTTAGACCGAGTGGACCAGGTGGAGAGTGGAGCCCGGGTTTGATGGCGATGCCTACTCGGACCAACTCCGTTGAATAATGAAAACACAATTAATTACACATCGGCGATTCCGTAGTAGAGACACAGAAGATTCTTTCCCAAATCAGAGATCAGAAGAAGCCGACGGAGAAGAGATAAGCCGCCCAGGCTCTCTCCTCTGAGCCAGCCGCTGACCCACCTCTTTCGGCGGTGGAGGCACCCCAGTCCTCCTCTCATGGCCGCCACCGCAGCTCGAGCTTTCCTTCTTTCTCGCGACCTGTCGCCCAAACACCACCCACCACCGTCCCTTCCTTCCTCGACGTCCCTCGCCGCCGCTGCTCCATTCTTCCTCCGTCGCCACAACAACAACAATTTCAATTCGAATTCCCATCATCATCACGCGGCCTGGGCTGCTGCGGTAACGACGACGACGACGACGGTGAGCTGTCTGAGCAGCGGCGGCGGGATCTCCGACGAATTCGTCTCCACTCGGAAGTCCAGCCTGGACCGGGGATTCTCCGTAATCGCTAATATGCTCAAGAGGATCGAGCCCCTCGATAACTCCATTATCTCCAAGGGAGTTTCGGATTCGTCGAAGGACTCGATGAAGCAGACCATCTCCACCATGCTGGGCCTCCTCCCTTCCCATGATTTCTCCGTCACGATTCGATTCGCCAAGCTGCCTCTCGACAGCCTCCTGATTTCCGCCATCATTACAGGGTAAGCTTTTTATTAAATCAATCTCTCAGATTTCATTTCCTGCTGTGTTGTTCGGTGTTCTGATTGCGGGGTGGATTTGGATGTAGGTACACGCTGTGGAACGCGGAGTACAGGATGTCTCTGACGAGGAATTTGGAGATTTCAATGGAGAATTGGAGGAGATCGGATTCCGGCGAACCGCAATTGGAGACGAAGGAGGAAAGCGATGTTAACAAGGGAGGAGTTGGTGAAGTTGGAGCTCAGGATGTGGAAATCAGTCCTCAGGTTTTGGGGGATTTGCCGCAGGAGGCATTGAATTACATTCAACGCTTGGAATCTGAGTTATCTGACGTGAAAGAGGTGATCTTTCTGTTCTCTAAAGCGATTCATTTTCCTGAATTAATGGTTTTGTATTTCTGCGGCACTGTAAAGTCTAAGTGTAGAATTTCCATGGCGTTGAACTTGTTAGTGGGAGTATTATGCATGGCTAATGGTTAAATGGATAAAGGGAGCAACTTTTAAAGGAAAGACTTTACCTTGTAGATTTATGGATGTTATGTGCTGTTTGTGATGGGCGCTGACATATTATTGAATTGGTTCTAGTCATGAGTTTGATGCAATAACAACCAAGAGCAATTTGATATCTGTGCAATGGTAGTTCGTGCATTCATCTACATCCTTTTGTATGCAAACATCATATTATTCAAGAAAGACTATAGGGCTGACTCCAATGTGAAGTCACTAGGCAGCAGTGTGGTTTCAATTGTGATATCTGGAGAGCCTTGCTAGTCAGTTGGAGAAATTTTGCTTCTTTATTATCTAAAAGTTCTGTTACATTCAAAATGGTGGATATAGCTTTGTGGATTTACGATGGGAAGTCTCCTGCCCATTACACCTAAAGTATGCGCTCTTGGATGGGTGATGATTCTTGGTAGTAATGTATCCATTAATAGGATTAGTTCTATGAAGCCCCGGGGGTATGAAGTGAAATTATTGTTTCTTGTCTGTACTCCCTTGAATACTCTATTCTTCTATTTCTTGAAGTCTTTCCTATCGATAAAAATCCATGACATTACGAGCCATAATTCAAGATCCCTTAGGGATACATGTTATCCGATCAAAAGAAGCCAACTTTTCTGGTGTGGTAGTTAGTTAGGCAAGCCTGCCATCCTTGGATACTGCTTAGTGCAAGAATTATCTTCTTCTTCCTTTCCCGTTATAGACAAGAACTCAGATTAAAAAACTTGCAATAACCTGAATACTAGTTGACAACATTGGTTTAACTGTCTGCTCTTTGCTTTGGAGAATGAGTCCCCTTCTGACATGATCTGGTGTTGTGTTCAGGAACTGAAGTCATGGGAGCAGGAAATTACAGAAATGGAAAATGGCAGAGGAAACAAGAATTGTTTATTAGAGTACCTACGGTCTCTGGATCCTGACATGGTGACGCCTTGTTCATTCAACTTTGCAGCACGAATCCATTTTAGCACGTGCTGTAAAATTGTCAAACTCATGCTGATTCTTGCTCCGGAACTTTTGTATCTAGGTAAAGGAGTTATCTCGACCATCTTCAATAGAGGTGGAGGACATCATTCACCAGCTTGTTCAGAGCACAGTGCAGAGGTTCTTCAAAGACGAGCCGACCTTGAGTTTCATGGGTGATTCGGTCGTGTCAAATGCTGCAGAAGGAAGTTATCAGATTGGTGCTGATGAATTCTGCTCAACCATTGGCACTTCTCGTGATTACCTGGCGAAACTGCTTTTCTGGTTGGTATCTTTTCGCCTCAATGGCTAGTGCTCCAGACGGATTATATTTCCTTAATTGATTGGATCACACAGTTGAGGTGCTAATGGCTTGTGTGTTTGGGGGTGAGTGTGCAGGTGTATGCTATTGGGGCATCATTTGAGAGGATTAGAGAACAGATTGCAACTAAGTTGTGTCGTAGGATTGTTGTAAATGAAGAAGCAGAAGCAGTAGCAACAGAAAGAAGAATTGGTAGACAAAAAAGGCGCAAGAGGAGAACAAGGGACAGGTGCCAGACTATGTGTACATTCCTTTAATTTTGTCTTGCTTCTAAATTTTTGCATACTTGATGTTGTCTTGGTCTAGTTAAAAGATGTTAATTTTAAATGGAAGGTTAACTCATCAAAACTTGTAAGATTCACCTTTCTCCTCTTTCCCCTCCCCCCTCCTGGAAAAAGAAACGTAGCAAATATATAGAAGGCATCCAGGTTCCTAGACTTCATCGTTCTATCTATCAGTAGCATTATTATCAACAAGCCCGTCTAGCTCAGTTGGTAGAGCGCAAGGCTCTTAACCTTGTGGTCGTGGGTTCGAGCCCCACGGTGGGCGTTGATATTTTTTCGTCCTGAGCATCAGCAATGAGTTGAGATGCAACATTTTACATAAAAGTAATTGATATTTTTTCGTCCTGAGCATCAGCAATGAGTTGAGATGCAACATTTTACATAAAAGTAATAATTTTGATCATTGCAACTCAACTACATGATTAATTCCAATTTAACTTTCACAATTCATCAATCATCCTTAGTTAATAATGGGTTAATTGCGAGATTGATCACTGAGTTTACAAAAAACGTTCATGTTTGATCCTAGAAATATTTAATTTCATTCGTGGTCACTAAGATTAGTTAAATAGATCAAATTTGGTCACTCTCCGTCCAATTCCGTTAGCTTTGTCTGATGTGGCAGTCAACTCTCAAAGTTGACTGTTAACTGAATGACGTGGCAATTAAAAATTAATTAATTTAATTTAATCTTTTACAATTTCCAACTCATTTTCACAATAAAGTAAAATAAATAAAACAGGAACAAATTATTATAATTACCACAGCCGACCACTGATCCCTGGCCGTCATCGTCATGTTCTCACCGTAGCCGCTGCGCAACGCCGAGACGCCGTCTCCCCACCCACGGATCTCCGCCCCTCACTTCCACTCCACTCTGTCCGCGTAGAAGCTCCGCCGGTTCAACTCGCTCATCCTCCTCCTCCGCCTTCTCCCCTGCTGCTTCTCCCTCTCTTCCTCCATCTTCCCGCTCATAACCAATTCCCAGGGCTCCGACTCCCCCTCCTAGCGCGACTTCGACGCCTTCTTGTCAGTCAGTCCTCCCCCCTCTTTTCCTTTCCCCCGTCAATTTCTCCTTTCCAATTTCTTGTTTGGTTGCCGGGAAAATGAACACTTCGATTTCACTATCAGATTTGGTTTGCGATTTCCGCTTCTACAGCTGGGTTTTGCAGGAACAGCGGGCAATGGAGACAGGATAAGGACGACGGCGAGTTAAGGGAAGAGTCGATCGGAGATTTTGAGGTCCTAATGGTTGAGGTCGCGGCAGAGAAGAAGGGAACTAAGGTTAGCGGACAAAGCATCACGGCAACAGAACACCAAAGTTGGGTTGGGGGTGCCATCTTTTCAAATCTTGTTGTGTCGCACAATACTTGGCTCTTTCCGGCATCGATTTCTTTGCATCCAATTAATTTCCTCAACTCTCCCAACCCTAATAATAAAACAACCCAAACACCTTTTGCGTGTAACGAATTGTTCGCTGGTTGCGGGGTTGAGTGAACCCCAGATGAATCTTTTTTTGGAGCCTGCTACTAGACTCATGACCTTCGACGATAGTGGTGGTGGAGGGCGCGGCGGCGGGGTTCTCATGGGAGATTGAGCGATCCGATAAAATCTTGGAGAAGAAATTAGGGAGCGTGGGTTGTGGAGAAATTTCATTTTTTTTTTGTTGTAAGAGAAATTTCATTTGATAATTACAATAATTTTTTTTTGTATTTTATTTATTTTACTTTATTGTAAAATGAGTTGGAAATGGTAAAAGGTTAAATTTTATTTTATTTATTATTTTTTAATTGTCACGCCATTCAGTTAACGGTCAACTTTGAGAGTTGACTGCCACATCAAACAAAGTTAACGGAATTGGACGGAGAGTGACCAAATTTGATCTATTTAACTAATCTTAGTGACCACGAATGGAATTAAATATTTCTAGTGACCAAACGTGAACGTTTTTCGTAAACCCAGTGGCCTACCTTGCAATTAACCCCAGTTAATAATTGCTCCTGCCTGATCTGGTTCACACAAGTTCCATTTCTCGGCCGATTGGATTGATAATAATGAAAAACAAAAACGATTCTGGACATACATCCTCTCCAAGAACAATTCAGAAAAATACATATATAGTTTTTTACTATCCAACCTCTACTACAATGCGGGATACACAAACCGAAACCTCAGAGCTCTTGTTTGAGTTACGAGTCCATGGTCCATGAAACCGTACCGGAGATCGTACCGAGAAAGTCAGCGGTAGGGTATTTTATGGTAAAACCGTGGTTTAACCGTAGTTCAACCGTCATACCGATAAATACCTGGTATTTCATGTTTTAACCGCCGGTACGGTACGATTTCATGGACACTTGTTACGACAACGATCACCTACAGCACAGCTACTGCAGACCTGACCAAGTTAACATAAATACTGTATATAGTATATACTACTTTCCCTACAAAAAGATTACACATTCATACATTGCTGCAATTGGACACTATTTACAGTAGAAGGCAATGGATCAAATTACCCCCTCGTACCCCCACCCTATTACAAAGACAATTACACCATTTGATCCAGAGCGCAATTGGCGTTCTCTACACGTGACTGGCTCTGAAATTTTTACAGAATATAGTCACCGTGGAGCTTATACACGGAAACATCGGAGTTCTCTTCTCTGCGCCAGCAAACAAAAATCTTCAGGTGGTTCTTACAAGAGGTCCAGCAGCCAAGGCCAAAGCAAAGCAGAGGGCAAAGGCCTTTAGCCTTTAATTTGCAAGTGGTGTCACGTGGAGGACTGCAACAGTCTGTGAAAAAGCTCCACTCTAGCGCGACTCTGACCCCTTGAGGCTTTCTTTCTACTTGATCGATAGAAGAAATCTTCGGTGTCGAGAACATAAGAGATCTGCCATACAAGAGGGACCTCAAAAATCAGAAAACCACAGATTTACCAACCCGCAAAGCTTCCAGACGCACACAGAGAGAGATCAGAAATTAATGGGGGGGAGAGAAGCTAACCTTGCATGAGCTGCTGGAAACCTTGCACTCCAAACCATTGACAATGCTGACACCATCCATTGCCAAACAGAATGCAGAAAGTGCGTCCATCTTATCAAACTTGTGTTTGTTTCTGCAAATTTTGACTAGTGAAAGTTATCTAAAATCATAAACTGAAGCCAATAATTATTCCATTTCCCCTCAAAACTGCAGAATTCTGCCCTTATTTCTGCGTATCGAGCAGGAAAAAACTTGATTTTCATCTGTTGTATACATGTATTCAACCATCTATAGCTACTTCAGCCCCTGTACTATTGTTTACCCTAAGGATATGATTTGCCTGCCACTGTCAAACTGTGAATTTTGTTAAACAGAAGGCTAATGATACCTATGGAGTATTATCCCCTGAGGATCCTTTTTGCCATGAGAAGAAACAGACAGATAGTCCTTCTGCAGATATGCTGCAAAATTTGGATCCATGGAGACTGGCAATACATCGGTGGGCTTCTCTGGCACATTTTCCATAAGCTGTATTGACATGTGAGATGGAGAAGATGTCTGCATAAAAGGATATTATGCAACCTTTAATTGCCAATAGAAAGCAAATTCCATCAAAAAAATAAAACTACGCAAAATTGTTTTTCCAACTTCGCTCATTTAATGAAAACCTATTTTTGAAGTTAAACCTCATTTATTATTCAGCAGAAGTTGAAACAAACAAAGCCTATAAACCAACGAGGGGAAGAGAGGCACTTACAAACTCCATACGATATATGTTATCCTCGTGCAGAAAGTAACGTGCATTATCATAATAAACCGACTCGATGGATTTCCCAGCTTTCCTGGTTCTCTCATACTCGTACAGTTGAAGAAGCTTACCGTCCATCTCATCAGCAGCAACAGCTTGCAGCTGAAAGAAGAGAGGAGAATAGGTCAAATCTTTGGTTCTGAGCAATGTAACACGAAAAGAGACGTAATGCTGACAGACCTGCTTGACCAATTTGAATATTAACTTGTCCAACGTAAATAATGCATACGACTGGTTTCCAATAATGGCTCTGCACTCATCTTCAAATTTCGCATTATCAGTAGATCCATCGAGCAGATTGTATAACGCAGTCAGAAACCTGTGGACCAAAAGAATGAAAAACTTAGTACATGCCAGGCATTCTCACAGCTAGAGCCGGGACGGACTGCTAACACACCTGGGATATGGGTCCACAAAAGTATCATTCTTACAAGTTCTCCATTTCGTGTCTGTGCTAGTTGACTGAATTTTGGCTGATAAAATTCTTTCGTACAGGATCTGGAAAGATTTAGGTAACACTTAAAGAAGACAATTACTTGAATCAAGAATACAGCTGGAAAAAAAGATATTCCTAATTAATACACCAATAGTAACCATCACCTGATGAAGCCTGAAAAGCACATAGAAATCATCATTTCCATAGAAAATCCGTGATTCATTCCTTTCCATGTTGTCCAGTAAAGCTGCTGGAACGTACTTAGCAAGAGGCTTAACGGATAAAAGCACACGCTCTTCCAAAGGTAGTAGATCTCCACCAAATTGTGCATTGGTCATCCCCTCAGCTTCTTCACCTTCACTCTCGGCCTTTTCATCAACTTCATCATGCAACCCCGTATCTTCATCTTCCTCTTCCTCGTGCTCGTCTTCTCTGGAACACTCATCATCCCCTACAGATTCACTGCCCGATACATCATCTGCATGCTCAGAACCATTTTCACTGTCCTGATCATCTGCATCGACATCATTCTTTTCTCCACCCAGACAATCCAACTCTTCTTCAGATCCCTTTTTCCTGCTCTCAGCAGTGTTCTTTCCATTTGGTATAGGTAAATAGCCAACAAAATCCTCCTCCTCGAATTCATTATTAGGTGATAACTCTCCCTCTTCCTTCTCGATTTTGGGAGGAGCAGTGGAGGCATCCAGGTTATGATTAACCGTTGTGCCATTAGAAAAACGTCCGTTTGCTGATAATACAATCCCACCCTGAAGCAAGAAATAAATGCATGAATTCTCTCACTACAATATATGGATCTTCCGTTTGACATCATGAATACACCAACAACCAACCGATGAAATACATACCTCTACAGAAACACCAGTATCAACACTTCCTTTATTTTTGTAACCTTCTGTAGCAACCCAACTAGACAGGGGCATCACAGAACTACAACCCCGGTCTGAAAATGACGGCAGTATTCCACAAATGAGAACAAATATCAGTAGAAGACAGTGCAATAGGAATGAAACACTAGAACATCATTTAAAGAACATGTGCATATGCTTAAAAACAAACCTGATATTCCATCACTGTTGTAATTTACATGAGTTTGTTCTGATCCTGTCTTAGGAGATACTCGGGCAGCAGCATCTCCGGCACTACAGCTTGTCTGTATGTTAAGCACAGCCATTTTCTCACTCAATTCTAGATTCTTCTGCTCTTTCTCAACTCTTTGCGTGTTGGTAATGACATCAGACGTAGAAACATGATCTGGTTTAACAGAATTCAAATCCCTGAGTGTATCATTTCCAATATCTGAAGAGGTGGGACCACATTGAGGTGAAGTGTTCTCATCTACACTATCAACAGCACATTTTCTTGGTGACTTGGAATCTTCCACCACACCGTTAGCAGCAGATTCTACACCATTTTCAGTCATGCTGCTCATGGTTTTGCAATTTGAAAGAAGATGCTTATCTTTCCCATCACCTCCTAGAGGATTATCCTTGGAATTGGATTGAACAATACCAAGCATTAGCTCCACAAACGTCGTCCAAAGCCGCATAACTTTACTAAGTTGTTCTTTGGTTGAGCAAATTTCTTCACATGAATACTGGACAAGTTTACGTATATCTTCATGAATCGTGCCGTCAGAATACTCGTATTCCAAATGTGGTACAAGGGTTTGTCTGTATCCAGCAGCAATGGCAAAAAGAACATCGTCCCCCTTTGGTTGCTTCTCTTTCAAATCCTTAATCTCAGTTAGCAAAGCTGTTATTTGCATTAAAAAACAATAAGAAACATATAATGAGTGCAGACATCGTGAACAGAAATAGCAGGACCCCAACATAGAAGACTTGTTCAGAAGCAACTGTCCATCTTTTATAACCATGGACAATGAGATTAAAACAAATTCCTATCACTGCTGACAAAAAAATTCATGACCAAATAAGGAGGCAGGCAACGAGTATACATGGCAAAGCTGTCCAAAGACATTCAGATTACATGTTTAGATGATAAGGATATGCAAAATTCAAGTTCACTTACATTTTGAGCTCAAGGTCTTTGAATCTTGTTGCTTGAAATAGAAGCTACGGTGATCCAGTGACTTGTAATGATTTTTTGCATATATCTCAGCCCAAACCTTGTTGAAATCTCTACGGCAGAGCATCCACTCTTCTTGCTTCTGCTTTAAGCGAGTTAGTATAACAGGCAATGCAATTGCAGGATTTTTGCGCAAAATGTCCAGCACGTCTAGACCATGGTCCCCATATAGACGCTCAATGCACCTAAAATTCAGAGCTGCATAAATTTGTATTAAGGAAACTGTAGAAATAATTTGAGAGCTTGGTCGGCTGAAAGAAAGTGGAATAAGTCTTCTAAAAGTAAAGAGAA